CAGAGCTCTGGCTGAAGCTCTTCCCACATTCCAAGCACTTGTAGGGCCGTTCCCTGGAGTGCAGGCCCAGGTGGGTGCGGAGGTTGAATCTCCGGTTGAAGCTCTTCCCACATTCCCCACACGTGTAAGGTTGTTCTCCAGTGTGGAGGATCCGGTGGCGGATCAGGCAGGACTTCTGGCTGAAGCTGTTCCCACATTTCCCACACGTGTAGGGCTTTTCCCCACTGTGGATCACCTGGTGTCGGAGCAGGTGGGTGCTGTCACTGAAGCTCTTCCCACATTCCCCACACTTGTAGGGCCGTTCACCAGTGTGGATGCGCTGGTGCCTGAGGAGGTTGGTGCTGTTGCTGAAGCTCTTCCCACATTCCAAGCATCTGAAGGGTTTCTCCCTGCTGGGAGGCTGCTCAGGGACCACCAGCTCGCAGCTCCACCTCAAGCTCCGGCCGCCTTCCCGGCACATGCTGGCTCTTTTCTCCTCACAGCCCCCTGGGCTGGCTTTGGAGCCCCTCCTGCGGGGGCATCTCCTGCTCCGGGGAGCCCTCCGTGCTCTCTGGCCTCACCTCGGGGCCTGGGGCAGGAAGCAACAAGGACACGCAGGGGATTTGCCTCCGGCCCACAGGGAAGCTCAAGGACATCCCCCCAACTCCGGCCCCGGCAGGACGGCCACAAAAGACCCACCCAAAGGGGCACTGACTTCCTCCTCACCTGCCTGGGGGGCCCGCGGCATCTTCCTCTTCCTCGCAGCCTCCTCCTCCATCCGCCCAAGCTTTGGGAAGCAGAAACCCTGCTGGGGGGGGAAAACAAGGGGTGAGTGCGTTGCCTTGGGGGTTCCTCCTGCCCAAATCCAGCTCTAGGACTCAGCAGGCATCTTGTGCCCATAAAATCCCCCAAAACACCAATATTCAGCCCAAAAACCCCTCCCAGAATTCCCCCTCTCTGCTCTCTGGGGTTAGAGGGGTCCCCCCTGTCTGGCCTAATGGCACTTCTGCCTGCATTGGGGGTCCCCCTTCTCCGGGCTGCCGGGGGTCCCGCGGCTCCGGGGGGTTCCCACTCGCCGGGGTCCCCTCGAGTGTTGCCAGGGGGGTCCCAGGGCTCACTTCTCCCCACTCTGCCTCCCGGGGCCGGCC